ATGAACTGTGAATTTTCTTACTGTATACTCTATTTTTCTGTTTTTTCCTAATCAATTAGTTTTTACTAATTTTAATTTATTTATAATAATCTTGTCTTTTTTCTGGGCGATTGTTGAGAGCTTTTTGGACTCATACAAGACTTGGGCAAGCCCACTCGTACTCAAATGAGTTACTCAACTCAGGTAGGGACCTAAGTCCTGATCCTGAGCTGAATTCTTTTAACATTGCTATAAAACCCATAATATCAACTGTTACAAGTGTGGGACCCAGGTTCAAGTCTTCATGTGCACATGAGCGTAGGAGGCTTTTGCTTAGACGATAGGTGGTCGAGATTGATTTATATGTGGAGAAGTATAAGTTGATCTTGAGAAACACAGATGTGACAATCATGTAAGCTAGCTGGAAGAATTCCAATGGAAGGATATTGATCAATTACATGATATTTTGTCCATAAGGAATGGCCTTCCAGGCTATAGTGTAGATGACCCCAACAAAGGTACACGTGGGAAACTCCTATTTATGCTGATTGATAATGTGTTGAAGGCTACTGAGAAGGAGAATGCAGTTGAAGAGACAACAAATAATGCAAAGAACTAAATGAATGAAAGAAAGAGGCTATTAGGAGTAAGCATTCATTGATGTGTTTAGGTTTTATCTTTACACCGGCATACCACTACCTCCCAGGTCAAAATGAGCACTCTAAGATCATGAAAGGGGTGAAGTATTACATGGGAAGATTAAAGTGGGATGAGGAGGCACAAATTGAGGATTTGAAAGAGGTAAATCTCTGTTTTATTGGTTTACTGAAATTGTGAACTTGTGATGATCTATCAACTGCGTAATGCAATGATCCACCATTGTGACCATCTATTTCATATGATCTTATTCTTTAAGCTTGATCTATATACAGATGCAAAAGTAGATTGGGTCAAGCCACGTGATAAGAAGTGACATACAGTTAGAGCCTAGCTAGCTTTCCAATTCTCATATGGTCATAGACTTGAAAAAATACTAATTTGTTCTGTTGTATTTGACCTTGTGATTGTACTCGTTTGAGTCATTTGTCTTCTCCCTTTTCAGCAAAATAGTGGGCGATACATGGAGATGATCCCATCTATTTCTCCACTACAATATGTTGTATATTTGGTTGGATACCAGAACTTCTTTAATATGAAATTGAAACTTGAACACCGATGAGAGTAATCAGACAAATATAGAAGCAACGGAATTTGCATTATAATTTCATCATTTGTATGTCAAACATGACAAAAATATCTAAGCTACATATCTACATACGAAAATTACCATTTTAGCACTTCACATTTCGATATAAATTTTCTGAAGTTCTATGATTTTCCTCCATTATATGCTTTTCTGAATTTCCCTATTTTTCCTTTTTTGGGATTTTTTGTTTGTTACACACCGCCTGTCACACCCTAGGAATTGGTTTCGCTCGAAGCATCGGACCAATGATCACCCATTCCTTGTGTGTCCTACTAGTGCCACAAAGGTTTCGGTGGCCTTATTGGTGCATACCACTGTGGGGTCTTCGACTGGGAGGAAGTCGTAACAAGGTAACCGTAGGGGACGCATTGGAATAAGGAGATGATAGCTCCTATATTTCCTAGTTTGGAATCGAGGAAGTATACTCAAGAATAAAACAAGCTTAGACATAGTGAAATATGGCTCAAGCCCGACACGACACAGGGGGGGGGTAATGGGGCAAGACTAGCAGGTTCGACTCAAGAAGTTGAACAAGACCTGGCCGTGCCCAGTTCCTAAACGAGTTTATGGTTTAAAACATTGCGTATATGATATTTAAATGGTTTCAAGTATGAAAAACAACAACCAAAAACTTGGTTACATATGCATCCTGTTCTTCCCCCAAAAAAAAACACTATCTTGGACAGTACTCAAGAAGTTGGGAGATTAATCTAACTCTCTAGGCTTCCACTTGACTTCCAAAGAAATGCCAACAACATTAACTAAACTTCAATTGCAATTAAACTTCCTACATTATGTGAATTATAATCACACCACATGAGAAACATGATGGACCGCCAGTGCATCAGCTAAGGAAAGAGTACCATACTCTAGCTTTCATGGACCGATCCAAAAGGATGTTAGAAGACTTGACGTCCCGATGTACAACAGGTGGTACAGCCTGAACAGAACAAATAGCAAAAATCAGCAACAAAACAGCATTAACAATAAACTCTACACAACTATATCAATATCATTTTTAAGCCACAAATACCCCATCATGAAGATATTCCAAACCCCGTGCAATATCTTGAGCAATGCGCAGCCTCAAATCCCATCTCAAGGGTTCATTTTTATCACCTGCAGATGCAATGAAGAACTATTCTAAGTCAACCAAGACCAAGTTCAATGCTGAAATAGTGTACCAGTAGTCAAGTACCGTCCAATTATTCAAATAAGAAGGGAAAAAATGGACAGCTATGATTATATTTAATATTTTAATTTAAATTTTTTATAGATTGGATTTAAAACAATCTTTGACAGCCTGGTTTGAGAAATTCAATGAAGCCTTACTGATGATTATGTTTAGAAGCGTCAAGCTGATCATACATCATTTGTAAAGAAAATTTTTTGCCGGCATTACATCACTCATAGTTTATCTTGATGATATTATAATGACATGAGAAGGCTTATTACAGATTGAGATCTCCAGTGCTACCAAGTGTTTGACTTAAAAGATTTCGCTCCACTCAGATATTGTATAGGTAGCAAAGTCAAAGAAGCAAACAGCTATTTGTCATAGGAAGTATGTGCTGGACTTGTTACAACCAATGGAACGTTGGGAGCTAGACCGAAGGATACTCCTATGCAAGTTAATCATAGACTACATGCACAGATGGGAAAGTTATTGAAAGACCCTAGTCAATATCAGAGCTTACTGGACAAGCTTATATACTTCACAATTACACGACCAGATATTTCTTATGTGGTTAGTGTAGTGATTCATGCACGTGGCACAAAAACCTCACTTAGATGTGGTGTATCATATACTAAAGTATCTCAAGTTATCTCCAAGGAGAGGATTATTTGCTTATCATTGTCATATAGGTGTTTCAATCTTCATTGATGTAGATTGGACTAGTTCTCAAACTAATAGAAGGTCAACTATAGGTTATTATACCTTTGTTGAGTTTTATGGAAGAGTAGAAGTAGTAGCCAGATTAAGTGTTGAAGTAGAATACAGGACTATGGCGCATGGATCTTGTGAAGTGGATTAGAACTACACTAGCTAATCTAGGGGTTAAAATTCATTTACCAATGACCCTTGATTGTGTTAATGAAGTCATCCACTATGCTGAGAACCTTGAATACCATGAGCGAACAAAGCACATCGAAGGGAACTGATATTTTATACAGGAAAAGGTAGCAGTTGGATTTCTTTGTACTCTTCATGTGAAATCAAGAGACCAACAAGAAAATATCTTCATAAAAGAAGTTGCACGACATACTATGGGATATAATTGTGAAGCTAGGTATGATTGGTGTCTATGCTCCAGCTTGAAGGAGACTCTTGAATGTGCAATGGCAAGCTAGGGGCATAAAAGGGATAGGATATTTAATAATAACATAATGTAGATTCTTTATTTAAAGAAGAGTATATTTTGCAATTTCTATATAAATAATATATGGGCAAGCTTTCTATGGTTCCCCTACTGCATAAAACTTATATAATTCCCCTAAACCAACCATCCATTTTGAATGGAGGGTTAAGATTGCCCCAATCACAATGTCACGTCTCTACACTATTTTATTTTTAATTTTTTGCCATAAACTATTTTGACACCAAATTTTGGACATCTAATCCTCCATTAAACTCGCACTAGTGAAAAATATAAAAACAAATTTTCCAATAAAATAAAATGATCAAAATGCCCCTGAAAGTTTCAAGGGGTATTTTGGTCATTATATTTTATTGATAAATTATTTTTAATATTTTTTATTGGTGCACCCCAATGAGAAGATAGAACGTACCAAATTTCATATTCATAAAATTTGTATAAAAAAAACTAAAAATAAAATAGTTTGAGACGTCGGATCTAAGATCAAACGGTGAGTGGCTCTCTTGATCAAAATTGGACGGCTGGATGGTAGGGGAAGCATAGATCTTCTATGCTGTAGGGGAAGTATAGAAACCTTTCCCATAATATATAACTAGTACTTTGACAAGTCTTAGAGACTAGCAACATATGGTATCTAGGTTCTCTCAAATCACCCCTCTCTCCCCTTTTTCTTCTCTATTTTCCTCCTCTCTTATTTTCTTTCTCTCGTACATACTCATCTCATACCAACAATTTCAGATCTAGATCTAGATCAATCTTTTCAATTTGATATATTCCAATCACTAGATTTAAGAAGAACACGGTTAGGTTTTTATTTTTTAGGATTTATAACAGTTTTATTCATCCTTTTTAAAGTATGTGTATCTTTGGTATATATACATTTTTCATCAATAAAATGTAGTACATATATTTATTTAGTGATAATTCATAGGTATGACTATATCTAGAAACTATATGTTATATTTTGTAACATCTTTTCTTTATAATAGAAATAATAAATTATTTAAGAAATATATAGATATATAGACACAGAGACATGAACACGCACATCCAAAATACATTTTGTATGCTGTATTACTATTATGTATAAATGTGACATACATCTAAAATATATTATATCCTACATTTAATATAAAGCATGATACAATGTGCTACTCTCTGCAATCCTAGGCGATTTAATCCTAGATCATGTAGGGTCATCTTTCACTTTCAATTACATGCCAACACTGTGAGAGGCAGCTGTCCTCCCTCTCTCGCTACATATATATATATCTGTGTATTTTAGATATTTCACTTCAGAGCCAGACACTTAGCTTGATAAGCACATTGGGACTTCCAGGCAAGGCAATCTCATAGCACTGTATGCGTTTGTGTGTGTGGAGACACAAACACATATATGGGAGAGGGTGTCTGATCTAATATGGCCAAGTACCCTTAAACAGTTCAAAAACCAATGAATAAAGATGAACTAAACTATATTTTTCCAAGAAACAAAAATGAAATAAACTGTTCCATCCAAGTAAGATAGATAGACATGTCAAATTAATTTGATGCTATCGTGAGTTAGATCAAAGGCAGAAGTAGATCATTTATTCCTTTCATAACTCAATATCAAAAACAAAAATTTCATGTAAAGTGTTTGAAAATTTAAAATTAATAAAACCTCTGGACTCATGACAGTGAACATATGTTAAAGAAGGCTGCCTAAAAGAGGCATTTTAATGGTTATAGATACTGAAGAGAACATAGAGACTGATATGGTAATACAGAACACATTAATTGGTTAGATACTAACAATACAGAGAGTAACAATCCAACCAAATCCAAACAATTGATAATATTCTAAATTGTAACAAGTTTCATTTTTCAGAAGGTGATCATGATAATTCAGTATTCCCCATATGTTCACAATTGTACGCATGAACATGCTCTCAAATCACAACTCTCACTGCATAATATTGAAAATCCATATAAGAGATGCTGAAATTAAAGTTTATGAAAGCATCTTCAACTAAAGCTCTGTGGAATGCCATGAAGAAAGCCTCGACATTATAAGCTCCACATGAAAAACAACAAATCCAGAAAAATTGTTAATGGAAGAACTTACTATATAAATGAGACGCAAGACTGCCATTGCTCATGTACACATACACAAGCATGTGCTGACCTTTCTCTGCACAATATCCCACCAAATTTACAAGGTTTCTGTGATGTAACCTCCCAAGGAGAAGAACCTGTGAACAAAACTTAAGCCGGCTTATACAGGTGGAAGAAATTCTATTTTTGTAATTTTTTAACTCACGAATTAGAAAAGTAAAGTTATTGCATTAATGAACTTTTAAGAGCATCAAGCTTGATGACAGTGGCAATAGACAAATTGGAATGGAAATTTACAAGAAAAAAAGAGGGAATAATACAACCAGTTCTTGCCACATACAATATCAGGAGAAGCACAGAGCTGAAAAAATGATTCACCACTAGTATTCCATATCATGACAGAAAAAGGAGAAGAGCTATTCTCAAGCATATGCACTCGCAACCAGGTTGAGTTTCAGTTTACATATATGGGACTTGAAGATACAAGTTCCAGAGATGTTTCTCTGTAACATATTGACTTGGTTGAGTAAGACCACAAGAGAGACCGACATATAGCAATAGACTACAAAGAGAAGAGTTTGTTAGTGTATCTCATATACACTTCCACATGCATATGCTCCCAAAAAAAAAAATTAGCTGACCGTATACTGCATACAATTGATAAGTACAAAGCAAAATACATGTATTTAGAAGCTAAAGTCAATTGTACATTGGTAAAGACTGAGTAAATTATGCAGAAATATTCATATTGTATCAATGTTAATGGGATTAAACTTGGAGTCAATGACCCACTTCACTCAGTTGGAAACATACGAAGTCCAAACAAAAAGAAAAAATACTACATACAGCCACTTAATGAACCCATCCTATTCCATCCCATTTATCAAAACAGGGGATTCTCACAAAGTCATATGGAGAGAACTATTGCTTGTTCCATACAGTTTGTTACCACCATGCCAAAGACGCATGTGCAAACACGAACACTCATGTCGAAAATCAACATGTCAGACTGCCTATTGAAACTTTTCTGTTATACATGCAATGATAACATGTCAGCTATCCACCCAAATCCAGGAAACATGTGTCCAAAACTTGGACCTGTGCATCAAAACTTAGGAACTAGACTTGTGCATCTCCAATACTTCACACACTCGCCTAGAATAAGGACACCCTATATTATCTAAACTTGATACTGCTTATCTATTCAGTTGTTTAATTAAATTATATTTAAATATAAAGGTATAACATCCACATTGTCCAGTACATGCACATGCGTAATCGTAACAGAGATAAGAATTGTCTTTGAGGTCCGAAACAAAGTTATCACTGTTGGGACCAGGTTGGATAATCAGATATGCCTCACTATAAAAAGATCATTTATAGAAGCTAGAGCAAGTATTACATGTGCCTCAGACACACATCATAAAATTTTAACGTTGGCCCATGATTTGCAAAGAATATTATATATATGTCATGGCATAACTCATTAGAAGGTAAAAGGATATGTATGAGAGACAGAGGATTCAGTTCGAAGGCCAATGAAAATAACTTGCTTATTAGCAAAAAAAGACGGGCAATGGAAATAACTGCAATGATGTGGTGTGTGCAAGTTTCTCATTACGGAAAACTAACTCGCCTAAACGCAAGCACGCAAATGAACCCTTCCCCATGTTTGCCTAACCTCTACCTCATAAAGGTAGTTCCATACCTTATAAAAAAAATCATTTGGACAACTTAGTAATCCATTATCAAATGGAGAACATTGCAAATAATCTTCCAAACATCAGAAATTTTTTTTTGAAAGTAAGCAAACATCAGAAATTTATCTTTGCTTTTCTTCATCTTCCGGAAACATCAGTGGGATGTGAACCTTGAAACAATGCTACAGTTCTAAACACCCCAACCATCAAGTCAGGAGCCCTAATCCAGAAGTAATTTTTGTTCCAGAAATTGATCATACCAATGTGTCAATAACAAACTCTAGTGCATAACTGCGGTCTGCAGCTCAGAAAGGATACTTTCCAATTCCATAGCATAATATCCTAAAAGCTTTCTAAGATTCATCCCCAGGTGGTATGCCAGATACCATCAACATACCCAAAACATTTGAGCTTTCATATTCCCAAATGAAGAAAAATTTGGGAACTCCAAAGCTAGTCAAAAGACAGCCACAATTCGGGACACATACTAATGCTTCCAAATGATATATATTTAAATAAACACACTTGAACAGCATCCAATAGAAGATGCAAAAGTTCTCAACATAAGTAAATTGGGTATGAATGCCACAGTGATCAACATAGATGGAAGATTGGATTGGGATCAAGACATGGTAAAATGAAGGTCATTGCAATACAAAATCAAAAGGGATTGTATTCTATGAGACCATTTATCTTTATTACAAGGTCACAACTGCTACTAGCTATTTGATGGGAAATTGGATGGCTTGGAGTGTGGCACAAAGTTCAAAAAAACAAATATTAACTGAGTCTATTCAATGCCACACTTACAACCACCCAATTTGAAATCAGAGATTGATTCTGACCTACTTGTCTTAAAAGTAAATGGTCTCTCTGTATGTTTTTCCAAATCAAAAACTGGGAAGCCCCAACTAGAACATTTCTAATGAAATCTTCATCGAAAATATAAACATCTCCGACTAAATTATTTTACCTCAGTTTGAAACTCTCTTTCTCCTTGCTTAGAATTTGTAGCAAGAACTTTAACAGCCACAGTTTCACCAGTTGCCATTTGGGCTTTGTAAACAGGACCGAAGGCCCCCTCGCCGATTATTGTGGTGAAATTACATGTAGCTTTTTGAAGATCCCTGCATTCCACAAACATGGTCAAACTAAAGGAAAAGCCTTTCTATGCATAAAGTGCAAATATGAAAATTAAAAGAACTAAAAGAAAACGATAGGCCGCATGGTACATTCCAAAAGAAATACTATCACAACAACTAATTTAAATTTGTTGGGTAAATAGCTAATTATTTAAATTTGCTTGTGCTCATTTCACCACAATAATACATATTAGTATTTAGTCACAATAACATGTTCGGCGATAATAACGTCATTCCAAAGAGGACAATGATAACATCACAGAGGAATCAGTCAAATGAAAAGGAGTATGCACATTTGGAAAAACAAGGAAAACAAAGAAATATCTGCACAAAGGACAACCTCAACATTAATGCACGATATATCAATTCAAGAATCTTATAAAAGTGGACCATATAAAAAGCGAATTATATAAAAGGCAGATAGACTTCTTTCTAGTTAAGAAATCATATCAAACATCATGTAAAGACTGTACGGTTATCCAAGGAGATAGTTTGACTATGCAGAATCGGCTCATGGTGATGGATTCTGCATAAAGAGATGGAAGATGAGTGAAATTTATAGGTGTCCAAAAACTAGGTAGTGGAATTTAAAAAGGGAGAAAATAGACTTATTTAAGAATAAATTGAAAAAAGAAGGAAAATGGATTTCTGAGTACAGAGTTAATGTTATGTGGAATGAGATGGTTGGTTGCATTAAGAAAGTGATAAAAGAAGTTTTACAAGAATCTAGAGGGAACCGTAATTGCGATAAGGAAACTTGAGGGTGGAGTGATGAGATTCAAAAGGCTCTTAGCAAAAAATGATCATATTATAAAGCTTGGCAATGAAAATAAAAATGAATAGAACTTAAAAGAACATGAAAATGCTAGGGACAAATGAAGGTGAAAAAGATCTCTTCAAACTAGCAAAAAATGAAATAGTGGAAAGGTAGGGATGTAAATCATATTAAATGCACTAGGAGTGAGGATTAAAGGATGCAGGTGAAGGGTGACGACTCAATGAAAAGTGGCGAATTTATTTTCAAAAATTGTTGAAAGACGAACACTTTTGGAGCACAGCCCAAGGAGAAACCTTCGATATAAATGCACTGAGAGGTAATAGATACAATCGCAGGAGTAGGATATTTGAAGTGAAAGAAGAATTGAGAATGATGAAGATAGGACAGGCTTTAAGACCAGATGGTATCCCTATAAAGGTTTAGAAGTGCATGGGCGACATTGGCATATACTGGCCAACCAAGTTGTTCAACAAAACAATGTTTAAAAAAACGGACCGCCCGAGGCCTAGGTGCCCAAAAAACATTTTCCGCACGCCTGAACTTGGGCGCCCCAACACGGGTGGCTATACCTGGGCGGGCGCCCAGCACAGTTTACGATTTGTTTTTTTTTAACTTCACTCAAAAGGGCAAAGGGGGTCATTTTGACCCCCAAGTTTGTATAAAATAAGTTTAGGGATTTATTTTCAACCCCAATCAAAAAAAAAAAATAAGAAACCCTCAATCTTAAACTTATTTATGAGAATCTAAAGCAATTGTTGAGAATCGAAAATACTTCTTGTGGATTGAAAAAGTTTGTTTTTCTAATTAAAATTATTTTTAGGGTGCTATTGGTGGTATTAGAAGACTTTTAAGTTGATTCGTAGCTCGACTGAGACAGCCAACATCGAAGATCAGAGATTTGGTAGAAAAGATCAGTCTGTAATCTTTATTTGAGATTTATTTTTTCAATTTGAGATGTCTTTTGCAGGGTCTACTAGGGGTGGAGATCCGAGATGAAAATATTGTGTTAACCCGGATAAGAATGACAGAAATAAAATTATGTGCAATTTTCTGTGGACATGTTTCTAATGCCAGCACAAATAGATTTAAGAAACATCTTGCCAGTATTAGAGGGTGATGTTGCCCCATGTAAGAAAGTCCCAGATCTTGTAAAGAAAGAAATTTTGAAGTACATTGAAGCTGAAAAGAGTAAAAAAGTTGCAAAAAAAGAGGATATAGCAAAATTAAACTCAGGGGTTCATATTTTTTATGATAATATTGAAACTGAAGAAGAGAATGATGAAGAGGGGGAAGAAGAGGTAGCCATGGTTGGTACTCAAAGCTCTAAGACCAAGAGGGCTTTTGGATCTAAGAAGGCTCGTACGAGAGGGCCTATAGATAATTTCTTTACACCTAGCCTTGAGACAGTAATTGAGAAAAGCAAGGGAAAGGGGAAAAAACAAGTGACAATTGAAAATAGATTTAAAAAGGAAGATAAAGCCAGGGTGATTCAGTATATTGCTCGGTGGTTTTACCATGCGGGCATTTCTTTTAACACTGCTAGTTTGAATAGCTTCCATACAATGTTGAAAGCAATTAGGCAATTTGGGTCAGGTTTGAAAGCTCCAACTCCTTATGAGATTGGAGAGCCACTACTGAAGAAAGAAGTCGAGTACACTAATGAATATCTCAAGACTCATAAGGAAGGATGGGCTAGATTTGGGGTTTCTTTGATGACAGATATGTGGAGTGATAGGAGAAAGAGGAGTGACATGAATTTATTAGTAAATTGTCCAACAGGTACAGTTTTTTTGTGCTCAATCGATGCTTCCAATGATGTTCATGATGCGTATTATATATTTTCTTTCATTGCTAAGGGTATTGAGGAGGTTGGGGAGGAACATGTAATTCAAGTGGTCACAGATAATGTTGCTTCCAATCTAGCTACAGGTCATTTGCTTCGACAAAAGAGGCCTCGCATATTTTGGACTCCTTGCGTTGCACATTGCGTAGATCTTATACTTGAGGCAATTGGTGAATTGCCTCCTATTAAAGGAATTATTTTTAAGGCTAAGGAGGTTACAATCTTCATATACAGTCACATACTTACCCTTAGCATGATGCGCAAGTTTACAAAAAAGAGAGAGCTAATGAGGCCTGGGGTCACTAGATTTACCACTGCCTACCTTGGTCTACAGAGCATGTATAAGAGGAAGATCGCATTAAGGTTTATGTTTGCTTCAGAGGAGTGGAGTAGGTGTAAGTGGTCTAAAGATGTCAAGGGAAAAAAGACACGCGATATTATTCTTTTGAAATATTTTTGGCGTGGGGTGAAGCATGCGATATTAGTATTTCTTCCCTTGGTGAAAGTCTTGTGCTTGGTTGATGCTAATAAGCCCTCCATGGGCTTTATATATGATGCAATGGAAAGGGTTAAAAATGAGATTGCAGAGAATTTGGACGATGATGCAGCGAAGTATGCTCCAATTTGGGAGATTATAGATGATAAATGGGATAGGCAGCTCCATAGACCATTGCATGCAGCAGGGTACTACTTGAACCCCAAATTCTTTTATGCAGCTACAGATATTGAGTCAAAAGGGGTTATGGATGGCTTTAATGAGTGCCTTGAGAAATTAGTTCTTGATCCAAATATCCAAGATAAGATATCAATTGAAGAGCTAATTTTGTACAAGTGTTTTTTGATGTCATTTGGGAAAGATATGGCATTAAGGTAGAGAAACAAAGACGAACCAGGTAATATTCTTTTGACTTATGTACTTTTGTTTTATAAAATATAAATTTATAATTTTCTTGCAAGTTCTGATAACGTTAAATACCTAAATTAATTATAAAGGTTGCCCACATATTGCAGCCCAATGGTGGAGACAACATGGGAGTAGCGCTCCAAACCTCTAGAAGATGGCTATGCGGATCTTGAGTTTGACAACTACCACAACTACCTCTTCTGGTTGTGAGCGCAATTGGAGTTCGTTTGAGATGGTATTTTACTATTTTAAAGGAATAAAATTTTATATGCTTTTTTTGTTTATAAGTTCATATTCATTTTGTAATATAGATTCATAAAAGGTAAGAAGATCATAGACCTATGGTAGTTACTTATGCATTATTTTTCCGTATAGGTGCATACAAAGAGAAGAAATAGGCTTGAGCAAAAGAAGCTCAATGACTTGGTTTTTGTTAGAGAGAATCAAAGGCTTAAAGAGAAGAAAAACCAGCCCAAGAAGGACCCTATGTCTTCGAAAGACATGGAGAATGCTTCAGATTGGCAAGTTAGTGACCCTGGTACTGAGGAGGTCTTCCCTGGGGAGGGTTTGACATGGGAAATGGTCGAGGAGGCTTCAAGGCAAGCTTCTGATCCTAGGACGTCCACTCGAGCAACTTCTTCTGCTGGTACTTCACGGAGGGAGATAGAGGAAGAGGAGGCAGATTCAGAAGAATCTCTGGAAGAAGAGGAATATGTTGAAGAGGGTGATGATTCTGATGATGACGGCCTCAATTCTGATGCAGATGAAGCAATGAAGATGATGATTCTGATTCTTATTGATGTCTTGATTGTCTTCTCTCTTCTTTTGAAGTAACTTTAATACTTTATTGCACCATCTTGGTTTGGGCTTTAGACATTTGGAGTCTGAACGATTTTGCTTTAGTTATGTGGTTTGCTTTTTGCCTTTTTTGGACTATTTTGTTGTGTGGTTTACTAGTTTTTCTATAGTTTTAAAAGTTAGTTTTGTTGATGACTTGGAGAGTTGAAGACTTGGAATCTTGGATGTTATTATGGTTTATTTTATGGATATGGAATATGCCAATATGGAGAATTTCTGAATTTGAGAGTTGGAGACCTTACAGCCTATTAGACTTTTAAATGTTTTGTAGGGTTCAAATTTTGGAATAAATTACAAATATTGACACAAATATATGCATATATGTGCATTTGGATAACAAATATATAAAAAAAAACTAAGAATTTGCACCTCAAGGCGCCCGAGGTTCTGGGGGCCCTCCTAAGCGCTGGGCGCCAAGCAGGCCACCTAGCGTTTTTTGAAACCTTCCAACAAAATGTTGAGAGCAAAGAAAATGCCAAACGAATAGAGAAAATATATCATGGTACCTATTTACAAGAACACTGGAGACATACAAAACTCTATGAACTATCAAAGGATCAAAATTACGAGCCACACTATGAAGTTTTGGTGGAGAGTGATTGTGCAACGACTGATACATGAAACAAATGTATCAAAAAATCAATTCGGCTTTATGCCAAGGAAGTCAATAATTTAGGCTATTTTCCTACTTAGGCAATTGATTGAGAAGTTTAGGAAAAAAGGTAGAAACCTCCACATGGTGTTTCTTAATTTAGAGAAAGCATATAATAAGGTACCTATAGAATAATTTAGTAGGTGTTGGAAAAGAAAGGAGTCCCTAGAAGGTATGTTGACATGGTGAGAGAGATATACGTGGGAGCACTAACTAATATAAGGACAACTAGTGGAAAGACAAGTGATTTTTAGTGACAATAGGCCTACATCAAGGGTCAGCATTGAGCTCATATCTCTTTGCTTTGGTTATGGATAACTTAACTAGGTATTTGTAACTAGGCATTTATGGGAATACAGAACCATGGTGTATGTTGATCGCGGATGACAAATGAGACTAAAAGTGGCATCAACGCAAAGTTAGAGAGGGATGCTCTAGAGTCTAAAGGTTTTTAGAATTAACTAGACTAAGACAATATATGAAATGCAAGTCTAGTAATAATAGAAGTAACGAAAGTCGTTAAGATTAATGGCGAAGAAATACCTAAAAAAGATTACTTTCGATATCCGGGGTCGATAATCTAGAAAAATGGTAAATTGAGGAAGATATCGCATACGTAGAGATGTACATCGGCAGTTTTATGTGATCGTGGCATACTAATGAAATTAGAGGAGAAGTTTATAGGACACCTGTAAGACCAACCATGCTTTATAAGACGAAATGTTGAGCAATCACGAAACAATATATTAATAAGATGAGTGGAGTTTAGATGAGGATGTTGAGATGGATAAGTGGCAAGACAAGAAAGGATTAACATTAAAAATGAACACATACAAGGGAACTTAGGAGTAGCTCCAATAAGAGATAAAATCAGGGAAAGTACACTTAGGGGGGCTGATCATATGCAGCGCGGACCTAATACAACATTTGTTAGGTAAGTGGGCGGCTAAAAAGGCAAGGGGAAAGCCCAAAAGGACATGGATGGAAGTACTAAAAAGAGATATGCTGGCTTATGGTCTATCTGAGGCTATGACCCTTGATAGAGTAGAATATCAGAACAAGATTCGTGTAGCCAACTCCAAATCGTTGGGTGAGGCTCTTATGATAATATATCAACTCAAGAACATAGAAAAAACTGCAAATGCTTCCTAATGAGAACAACATGATGAAAATGCTTTAAAATGTAGCTTTTGTTAATAAGGACGACTAGAGAATAACAAAAGTGAGCATATAGAGAAAACTGCCTATCATACCAGTGCATGCTCCAACTTTAGGAGTGTTGTTGGAAATACTAGATTCAAGGTTAATTCTTTGTAGTTATATGTTGTACTTATGTTATAAATCTGATATGTTATCAATAAATGAGCAAGGGTACGTCCAACACTATACCCATATAAACTTTGTATAAGGAATTTATCACACCTTTATGAGAATAAAATTTTAGATGATAATCTGCCAATGGTCTAGAGCTGTTCAGCTTTTTCATATAGGAATCTCATCATATTCCCCATTGAGTTTTACCTTTGACATTTCCTCTCCTACTTTCCGTTTTATGTAAATGTTCTTAATTTATTTTATTTTTTTGAAAGTGTTAACTGTATGTAGATGTATTTAATTATTATTTAGAAAAAAGTTAATTGTCAATCAAAAAATCATAAAAAAGAGCAAAGAAAGAAACACTTGTATGGAAGATAAAAATTGTAGGAGCCATGCATTGTTTTACACAAGGGAAGCTGGTCTCCCATGAACTATCCAGACAAAAAAAAAAAAGAGCAATTGGCCTCCCATGAATATGTGAGTCCAATGTTTCTCATGAAAAGGCCAAGAATAGCTCGAACTTAGCATAGTTAAATCATCTCCAATAACCCCAAGCACTCATGTTTCCTTTTCCATCAAAAAACTTCAGGTTTCCTTAAAGCTCTACTTCGACATATCTTATGTCATACTATGGTTTCTTTAGGGTTACCAATGGGCCAAACGACCTAACCAGGCCCTTATTGGCTTGTCCTAGAAAAATAGGGCCAACGCCACAAAATATGGCCCGAGGGCAAAGTAGGGCCGGGCCTAGGCTAGGACCACAAAAGGGCTAGCTCGGTTCAGCAAGGCACAGCCCTTTTTTCCTTACTTTTTCATTTATTTTTTCTTTGTTTGTATTTGGCCCGGTGCCGGCCAAGCTGGGTTTGGGACAACCCAAACGAAAGCTTGGCTGGCCTTGTTGTTAGCCCTATGTTTTTCTTTTGTTTTTTATTTGATAATCAAAAACTTCATGGGAAAAGGCTCTGATGATGATGAATCGAAAATTCATGGCAAGATGAAAGTTACAAAGCAATAACACAGAAAAACTTATTTGAGCAGAAAACAAGGGTCCAACAATATTCCAGCATTCTCAATGCGACATCCAAGTACTCACCCCCCAAACCGTTAATTTTCCAAAAGGCCTTACACATAGTCAGCCTCTCAATGGACATGGCTAATGCCCACGAGCTTGTGAGCAAAGAATATTTCCAACCTCCTCAAAAATAGAACAATACCAGGGAAAACAAAAGATTCGCACAAAAATTCATGTTTACATTTCAAGGGGTCTCCCGAATACCAGTGAGAAAAATCTGATCGAGCGGTCTCCCGAATAGCGGTAAGAGAAATCTGATCTAAGTCCAAGTTTACGCCATCTATGATCACCTCAGCAATCAGCGCTTCCTTAATTTCATTCTTCAATCCATTAAGACTAAGGAGGGAGCACAACTTATCCCTAATAATTGGCAAAATCCCGCAAAAGATAGATAGATAAACCTCAGTTGCCTTCAATGCAACCATTTCAATTGAGTGTGATGCACCCAAGGGAGGCAATGTTAAGGATGCATCCAAGAATTAATAGATGAAACAGAGCAACAAAACTAATTTGGAAAAATAATATTTGAACCATTTCTTTTATGGAAGTTCAAACCAGTAACATGCTATATCATAATATTTCTCTAAACTAGTGTTCAAAAACTCCAACTCAATTTCCAGCTCAGATAGTGCCAAAACTAAGCCAAGTTACCTGACATTTTTACAATTTTGGTGAAGAACTCCACAGTTTTTTAAATTTTGCTAGAAAGCATTTTGTGCATCAAGGTTTGAACTGAAGATTAAGTTCCTTTGCCAAACAAGTTGACTCAAACATGTTAACTGTACATGGATCGTTATTGAACACTTCGCTTAATTTCTGCCTCTCAGCAAGGCGTTCACAGCATTATCAAGAAAAAAACAAGAATAACAATTTTATTTTCCTACATGGCATTGGAGTTACACATGAAAAAAATGTATAAAATGAAAAGGAATCATGTTTTATGTTCACATATCAAGCTTCCATAAATTAGCCAAGCAGAAAGCACCTTAACTAGAGCATAATCGTGCAGGTTATTTATAACAACTGCATCACATTATTGTAGAACATGAAGTAATAAGTACATAGGTATATCTTAGAAATAGAACAAAAAAATATATATTTAAGGACTTTTTGCTTTTGTTTTTTCACTTTAATGGTGTATAAATTAAAGTCATACCTAAGGCTTGCAAAAGTGTCGAGAAGAAATGTCAATACAAGGCTATGAAACCAACGTAGGGAAGAAATCCATATTACATCAAGAAGAAAAATACAACAAAATAGTGCTATCTAGCTTCCATGTCCTTATTCTACATGTCCTCGACATAGCCATAAGCTACCATTCTTTACATTCAAAAATAAAATAAAACAAACAGCAGAAACAAATGAAAGTCATCCAGCTTATCTTCTCCAGAAGAGATTATTAGGAGTGCTCCAAGTCAAGTTGCCCTGTCCAACAAAACATCTAAATAGAAATAGGACTTAGCATATAAGACCACCTTCGGATATTGTAAACTAGAAATCAGTTCATCAATACATGAAACTTATTGTGATGTGCTTGCTATGAACATTTGTGCTAGTTTCTGGAAATATGCATAAAGCAACAGTCACAGTAAGCAAACAACATTTTACAAGTTCTTTATGTACAAAGCCTTAAATAAGAAGAAATACTTGTATGAATATTTTAGTATGCCAGAGACTGAGGTAAAATTCTTCTTCTTTGGTCCTTCCAGCCATAAAGGACGTCCACTTTCAAGAGCAAATTTTGGTGACTCCTGTCCAATTGTTGAATCTGAAAGCATCACACTTGAGTCCTCACCATTGGCACGCATGGGGATAGCTGCCGCCCTCCGTGAACTGCTGTTTCCTATCTGTGCCCGCTTCTTGCGGTACCTAATGCAAAACAAACCCGAAATAGCCAAGAGCACTCCAATAATAACTCCTATAGAAATCCCAATTATCAATCCCCAAGACTCTCCTTTCATTTCTTCAAGAGCAATATCACACTAGCCTGAAATTACCCAACCCATAGTCCTGCAAAAAAGCCCAAAACTCAGAGTACTCAACATGCAGCTAAACATACAATCATCCACTAATTTAAAATAGATAAGAAGGGGAGTAAAAGAAAAGGACCATCATGGTTGTATACTAGACTCATATGCATCTACTTCTTGGCGTAACCATGAAAATCTGATGAAACATGGATCTGAGTGCATTGTAAATTGTGATTTCTCACACAGAGATAGGGACTAAAACACAAGAGTGTAACTGAATTTGATCAGAAGAATTGCATCCAAACAGTTTCGTAAAGCATCTTGGAGTAGACAACCATTAATGCGGTCATGTTCGATAAGTTCAACAAAACATTCTCATGGAGGGCCAAAATCCATCAAATGAACAGCTCAATATCTCCAGGAAATGCCCAATACCACCCAATCCCTTAATCTCCCAGCTGAACAAAAAATACTACCAAGATTTTAATAAAAAATAAAAAAATTAATCCAGGATTAAATATTCATCCAAAGACAACAATTTGTACACCTAATATTAATTCAAAGAAGACACCTAATTGTTGAATTAAGTCTTAAATTTGGAAATCTGATCAATTAAAAATAAATCAAAAAGATTTTCAAATAATCTTCTGATTTAAATCGCTTCCTGATTGGATTGAACAAAAAGTGCAGATCATCTGCATCACATGATCAAGGAATAGTGGAACAGGCTAGAACCTTTAAATCTTTTCACAGCTTATAAATCCAAAGCACCATAAATGCAATACTGCATCTCAAATAAGACATAAAGCAGGAGGACGGGGCAATTCAATCAATTAACATAGGATTTGTAGAGAATTCTTAGATATTAAATAAAAATCTTTAAAGTCAAAACTTGAAGACCATGTCATGAAATCCTATAGTTCACCAAATGCTCATATCATAATACTCACCTGACTTTCATAGAAAAAAAAAAAGAACCGTCATATTCTCAGTAACCACAAACGGATAAACAAGAAACAAGCAAATAGCAGCAAAGGGAACGTCATGATTCATCTCTGCAACTAATGATCAACACGCGTGGTATCAAATGCCTCTGACCGAGAAAACAGAGCTCTAAACCAAGAACTTTATCCATGAAAAACAACTTATAACAATCAACTCAAACAAATTTTAAATCACTCCAACTCTAATTGAAGTTAAAGGGTTTCAAATTTGCGATCAAATTACTTAAGATTTACAGCCCAATTTATGCTCATCGGACCTAATTTCATTGCAAATAAGGAGCAGTGAAACGTAATCACAGTCTCCATTACAATCAGACAAACACTGCCCCACTCAACTCATTTCAAAAACTTGAGACGAAAGGGGAGATACTGGAGATTAAGAAAACAAAAACAAATCAAAACACACAAACTAACCGTCACTTCAAAGGAAAAGCGAGGACTTAAAGGTCAAGTTCAAACCATCACTTTTAACGTTCATAATACTGCAGATCGAAGCAAGTTCCAGATCAAATGCACTTATTATACACAAAACGAAGCGAAGAAGAGAGGAGAGAAAAGATACTTGCAATGTTAAAACAGCGACTGAAGACTCCAAATGAGAGAGAGAGATAATGATAGAGAGAGAGGAGAGAGAGTGAAGGATGCAGATATACAATGGACTATTTTTGCATTGGAGAGAGAGCGGGGAGGTCAAGAAACAATGGCGGCATTTCGCAGAACGCGTTGAAGAGAGCGAGAAACTGGAACAAGCAAGGCAATGAAACAATTTTTAAATCCCGCGGGTCGCCGTTGATCGCATAAAACTAGAATGCAAGGAATGGGAGACGGGCTTTAATAATGTAATTGTTAAATGGATACTATCAGATACGGGGTTCAACTCCCTATAATTTCATAAACGGTGTCAACACTATAAATTTTACTTAAAGGTATATTGCAAAATGATTTTATTGATAAGGTACTTACTACAAAAAAAATATTTAAAAAATCTCTATCTACACTAGTGTATTGTTGAAAAACCAACCATTAAAGGTACTTTCAAATTGCTAAAAATATATCTTAATTTTTTATTTATTGTAAATAAATGTCAAACTTTTTATTTTATTTTTTTCACTTTTTGTGTTTTTTTTGTTAAAATAACATGTACGGTATTCTAAGAACTGTGAAGACATCACGATAAACGCACTTTGGGTTGGTCCTGGGCGGTTTAATGTTATGAGGCATCATGACACTTAAACAGCCGTGATGGTCATTAAGAGGCATCACGGCACTTAAAAAGCTATGATGGTCATTAAGAGTTCTTATGCCTCGTGATGAAGAAAACATTAAAAGTACTTAGATAACCATGATAATATCTTTGTATTATATAATAAATCATCACGGTTCTTTAAGTGCTATGATACTTCAAAACTAAATTGAACTTACAACCTACCATGACCATCACAGTTTTAATCGTGATGTCTTCACGGTTCTAAGACTATCGTGAAGGCTATTTTCGTTTTTTCACCCAAAAAAGGGGTATGAATGAGGTTTTCGAATGTTTGGGGTTTATTTCTTATAATTTAAAATTTTAAAGTATAGTTTTTATGATTTCTCTAAACTCTTTTTATTAATCAATTACTCAAATCCAAAAAATATTTAAAAACTTTCTACCTACTCATGTTTGGTGTTGAAAAGCCAACAATTAAAGGTACTTTAGTAATTTTACTCCCTCAATGGGGTACTTAAGTGATTCGATGAAGGCATTTTGGGGGATAAATTATCAAGTCACTAATCGTTTGTACTTATCAAGGTTGAACATGGGCAATTTAGAAACTTTTTGATTTTTTTAAGAAGTACCTAATTGATAGAAAATTAAAAAATGTACCCTCACATGTAATTTGTATTATTTTGTCCCTGCAAAGATATTGTAAATGGATTCAACCCATTTTTTGAGATTTTCCCTATTATTAATTAACTATTACAAACATATAAATTTGGTAAGTGACCTTTATAAATGATGAAAATCGGCCACCAATCTGCTCAATAATTTTCTTCTTTTTTGGCCTTTTTGATTGGGTAACTAGTCACTTTTCGAGAGATTGCAATTACAGTGTAGAAAAGAAAAAGGGAAAAGTATAGATACCCTTGGATCCAACTTCCTACTCATGTTCACCCACTATAATTTTTTAAACACACCACTAACTTTAATATTATTTATTTTTGTACCAATATACATGTCCGGCTTCACTTTAAACAATGATACCTGTCTGGTATATTTTTGGTCTTTATTGAAATTGGTTCGTCACAAATTGCAATTCATGTCCCTATTGAAGCTGATATCGCATACACTGTGCTGGCTTGAATTTTTTCATGAGATAAATAAGTATTATAAGGGAATTTTTATCCTAAAAAACTCTTTGTTTTACTTGAGGGCGTGTGTAAAAATAAATATTATCAAGTATAGAATGTATTGAGAACGGACATGCCAAAAAAGTTGGATCTTAGAGGGTATTGTTAATTTTCCCTAAAAGTGAAGTCAAAGCTACGACCCGTTGACCACCAAGGAAGGGAGCGATACGCCCTTCCTACTCAAGGAAGACATCTAAAAATTGTTCTGCATTCTTTTTGTAGCAATGAAGTAAATGCATATGGTGACCTATTAAGATGTCCCTAATCCGATAAAAAAAGGGGTAAGTCTCGGAGGAATTTGTCTATACCTCTTAGTCCACTTAATCACATGTATGGAATTATCTATTATGTTTGTTCTGCGTTTCAGAAAAGTATAAAACGAGACCATTTACTTTTGATATAGGGTGGCCACATTAATGTTGACCATTAGATGTGAAATTGGGTGGATGTAATTATTCTATTGATCAAGCTCAAACATCAAAATAAATTTTCTCGAATTTCGTAACACATCCAAGCTGTCAAATTTCACATCAAATGGTTGTAAGTAATTGTGACCACCTTGTATCAAAAGTAAATGGTTTCATTATATACAATCCCTTTTTTTTTAAGTTTCTTGAAATGATGGAAATGAGCCCTTACGCCTTCCTTGTGTCATGTATGAAAGTAGGCCAATGAAAAAAGAAGGTTAATAATAACATTGAAAAAAAAAAATAGGGAAAAAAAAAGAAAAAACGGACGTTTCATATTCAATCCCATGAGATACACCTTAGAATTGATTATTGGTGCACTATATCTTTACCATCTTGGGAAAGGGGCTTGGTTTGTGGTGGTAGCACCCCACACCCTAGTCACTACGTGTGGTTTTTATTTCTAATGACACCTTCCCACTTACACTTTCAAAAAACTAACACCTAAAATGTTGAAATTAGCCCACTAACTCATATTTTAGTAGCTAGGGGGGGGGGGGGAGCATCTTTGAAATTAAACCCTTGAAACTAAATATTCTAGTTGAACCTTAGTGGACATAAGCTGATCTATATAAGCATCAAAGATTTTAAAAGGGAAGCATTTTGGTTTTTTGAAAGATCCAAAGAAA